AGAAGGCCCAGTGGATGAACCTTGCTGTAGACCTTGGGAGTGACCACTGCATTCTTGCCACTACCTTCTCCGTGGAGCGTAAAAAGCAGAGAGAATTCCACTTCACAGACTGGGATAAGTTCAGGAAGATAAGGATGGAAAGGGAACAAGATGGCCACAGACAAAGCTTGGAGCAGTGGGTCAAACAGATTAAAGATGACATCAAATCCGTCTCCTCCACCATTACCACAGATTTTCCGGTTGAAAGAATGGATAGCCGGCTCGCTCATCTTCTTGAGGCAAAGCAAGCACTACTGAACCGTTGGAAGGGTCAGCGCCTGAACCGAAGACTGAGGAAGAAGATAGCTGAGGTAAACAGATCAGTCGAGGAACATTGTCGCGCACTATCGAGGCAGCAATGGGACGAAATCTGCAACTCCGTCGATGGTCAGATGCGCAATGGCAAGACATGGAATATGTTAAAGCATCTCCTCAACGAAAACACCACCAAAACAAATCAAAAGCATGTTATCGCTCGAATTTTGCATAAAGAGATAGGGCGCACTACAGAACGGCAAGTTGTCCAGCAGCTCGTGCATAAGTACCTCCCAATCAAAAGAGGATTGGCACCACCAAGTAGGCAGTACCAGGGCACGCCAAATCCAGGTCTTGAGGGCGACTTTAACATCGAGGAGATCAGAAGAGCCTTGCATGATCTCAACGGCAGGTCGGCCCCTGGCCCGGACGGTATATCAAACAAGGCCCTGCGTAACCTTGATGACGATTCAATTGAAACCCTGAGGGATATGGTCAATTCAGTATGGAAAGAAGGCAGGGTGCCAGAGCAGTGAAAGCTGGCCAGCACGATCCTTATTCCTAAGCCAGGAAAGCCCCCTAACTTGGACAACTTGAGGCCAATATCCTTGACATCATGTATCGGCAAGGTCGCAGAACACGCCATACTGCACAGGATAAACAAGTACTTGGAAGATAACGACATATATACACACAATATGGTTGGATTCACGGCAGGGCTATCCACACAAGATGCATTGAAGCTTATCAAACACCAGGTCATTGACAATGAAACCAGAGACGTGAGAGCCATTCTGTGCCTAGATCTAGAAAAAGCGTTTGACAACATCCACCACTCATTCATACTCGAAGCAATTTCCAAGCTTGGTCTAGGGAAAGCCTTCTATGACTACGTATGGTCCTTTCTTACAGATCGGAAAGCCGTGATGAAGATTGCAGATATCGAGACCGCAGCAATCAAACTAGAAGCAAGGGGCACGCCACAAGGGGCAGTGATTTCACCAATGCTGTTCAACATTGCCATGATTGGGCTGTCAAAGAAATTATCGAGCATTGAAGGATTGAAGCACAGCATCTACGCAGATGACATTACCATCTGGTGCACAGGTGGAAGCGAAGGGCAGATTGAGAGCGCTCTGCAACAGGCGATTGACACCGTAGAAGACTACCTTCGCCCTTCCGGGCTCAAGTGCTCCTCGAGTAAGTCCGAACTTTTGCTTTATCGGACTGCACGCCGGGGACCGAAGCCCAGGGGATGGAAGCCGTTAAACCAGATAGACATCCACCTCCGTACAAATCAAGGGGATGCCATCCAGAGGGTCCACTCCATCAAAGTCCTGGGAATGCTGATAGAGTCTACCGGCGCCAACAGCAAATCTATAGCCAAGTTAACTCGGAAAACAGACAGTGCGGTGCACCTCATACGCAGAGTGGCCAACAAAAGAAATGGGATCAAGGAAGACAACCTCGTCAGGTTGATGCATGCGTTTGTTCTAAGTCACTTCACATACGAGGCAGCAATGCACAACTGGTCAAGAGCAGAGTCCGAGACACTGAATGTGCTCCTCAGGAAAGTTATCAAGACGGTCCTGGGCCTACCCATACATACCAGCACCGAGCGTCTACTTGAGCTTGGTATTCACAACACGCTCGAAGAAATAGCAGAAGCCCAAGAGAGAGCACAGTTTGCAAGGTTATCTACAACAAGGTCGGGGAGAATGATCCTGCAGGAGCTGGGCCAACACCCAATGGCAATCAGGCACAATTACAATGATATCCCCGACAACATCAGGGAGAATATCACGGTGTCTCCTATACCAAGAAACATGCATCCAGAACACAACGTCGGAAGAAGAGTAGCGAGGACCAGGACTATACTTCGTCAAGTCTCAAACGAGGAACGAGGGGTCGTATTTGTTGACGCGGCTTCCTACGCCAATGGGAAAGCGTTTGTAGCAGTGGTGGTCGATGGGGCTGGCCATGTTGTCAACTCAGCGACGGTCAAGACGAAAGACCCAATCATTGCGGAACAGGTAGCCATCGCCTTAGCACTCAAGATGGATAACATTGAAGTCGTCTACAGTGATTCCATGACAGCACTACGGGCGTTCGCCAAGGGGACGGTCTGTGAACAAACGCTGAAAATACTGCAAGGCAAGAACATAACACATCATCTTCTGAGTTGGTTCCCAGCTCACTTTGGACAAATCAACGATTCCCCTCCCAATCTAAACGAAGCAGCACACGAGGCGGCGCGAGAACTCTCCAACCGCGCCTCCCCGGGGATGCGTTCTACCGGTGAAGGGGATAACCGGGAAATTCTTACAACATACAACGAGCTCACTAAACATTTCTACCTGTCTAGAAGGATTTTCCCTCCACCTCACAAAAATCTAACTCGGCTCCAAGCACTTACATTAAGGCTTTTGCAAACGCGGATGTACCATACTTTGAAAATGTTACACATCATGTACCCTGACCTATACCCAAGTAATCTTTGTCCACATTGTGGGGAAATAGCTTCATTAGAACACATGCTCCGGCAGTGCACCAAATTCGCTCATTTATCGAACATCACCTCTGCCAGATGGGAGGCGGCAATCCGCAGCTCGTCCTTGGCAGATCAGCTCTGGGCTGTCCACCAAGCCCGCGAGGCGGCTGAGGAGCTTGGCATCTCAGTCCCCACGTGGGAGCTGCCCGCAACACAGTGATCTGTGTTTTGGAGGACCAAATAAAAGTTTATCCAATCCAATCTAGCGTGACCTCCTGTATTCTAAGCTCACTACCTTCGTTGTCATTGAAAATCATGACTGCTGATTTTTCCTTATTGAATCTAGAATCTAACCTATCTCCCTCATTAGCGCAGATGTCCATCAATCTCTGCAAATCTTCCTTGTTGTTGGCCATTAGCACTATATCATCTGCGTACATTAATGCTGGTAGTGCCTGATCAATAAGTTTTCCTTGTTTGACTAAAGAGAGGTTGAAGCCCAGTCCACTTCCCTCTAATTTTGCCTCTAATCCTTGTAGGTACATCATGAATAATAAGGGTGACAGGGGGCACCCCTGCCTAAGCCCCCGTTTTACCTCCGCAGGCTTGGATACCCGTTTTTCCCACTTTATAACTACCTTGTTACCTTTATAGATACCCTTTAAGAGATTAGTGACTACATGTTCCACGCCTAGTGTGTCCAGTATTCCCCACAATTCCCCTTGAAGCAGGTGTAACTCGAGCGCCCCCTAGGCGGCTAGGTTCGGAATCCGAGCCAGCGCAGGCAGCTCTGTAGATCGCCGCGATCTGGGCTGGTCAGGACAACGCCTCCTAGATTTCCCGTGCCTGCCGATTCTCAAGTGACTGGCGGTCACTTGAGAAGCGGCGGTTGTCGAAACTACGGTGGTAGCGCCACTAACGTAGGGATGCCTTTAAATACGTTTTTGGTGCTTATATGCAACAAAATAACGTAAAAAAGTTTGAAAAGGTGAAAACGTAATTATAATGAACCCTAAGCAAGTGACGCCGTCAATCAGCAAGCAACTTTTTTTAATAGAAGGCATCCTCTGAAAGCAGTAGCAAACGATAAAATTGCCGATCTTAAAAGTAAGTACAAAGACCCTTACCTCTACGTAGGCAGCGCCGCCATAGATGAACGGCGTTTCGCGCTTATCCGGCAGGCACAAGAAATCTAGGGGGCGTTGGTCAGGAGTACAGTAGGTCGTGGTCAGCAATGTGTCGTCGTTTTGTGAACTGCGCGCAGCTCCGCCCAAGTGTTTGCGGGGTAGAATGCTCACTGCGCACTCAGAAGACCCAGGTTCGTATCGCAGCTGAGGACGTTAGATTTTCTTTTTTTTTTCTCAATTGTACTTGCACAGGTGTATTGGTTTTTTTTTAATCTGGCTTCAGTTGCTACAAAAATCACGCGAAATATGACGGTGCGCTTTCATCGCAGGTGGTTGAAAGCATAGAGTTTTTTAATATTGTGAGGAACCACAATATACACGAGAGGGAACTCTGGCGCTAGTGTCTATGGGAGCTGCAACACACGGCGCTTCAGCGAGCATGGGAATCACGGCGATGGGAATGATGGATAGTACACACATTTGTCTGATTTTCGTACTTCTGGCCTGCTTTTGGATCCGTGTGTGTTCGTGTGCTTGGAGCTGTGTTCTTACGAAACAAATATTAGTAAATGTTCAGCGGTTGCGGTTCACCATTTTATTTTTATAGACTTACCTTTTCAAATAAGATCACGAAGTTCAAAAGGGTTTGTCCTTTTTCTTTAAAACGAAATCGTAACTAGCAATACACGAAGCTGCAAGTACAATTCGCCGGCCGCAAGACTAGGCAAATGTGTGTACTACCCATCACTCCCATGGTCGCTGAACGATCGCAGCGCTAGAGTGCCCTCTAGTTAATTTTGAGAAACATTATGGCAGCTCCTGTAGACACTAGCGCCAGAGTTCCCTCTAGTGTATATTGGGAAACTTTATGGCGGGCGGTACCAGGGCAGCTAAGCGTTTTTTATCTGCGACCCATAAGGGCGCGTCAGTCGAGAATTGTTCAAGACCTGTAACTGTACACTACTGTTTCGGAGGCTATGCAAAGTGTTGCGTTTTTGCACCGTCCACCGCAGGTTACGCTAGCGACCGAGAACATTCTAAAATGAAGAAGGAAAAGGGTGTGGCAGCTGTTTTTATTCTCATGCGGCAGGCATCTAAATAGAGAAGCGTTGCGACGACACATTGCAGACTACCGATCGCAGCGCTACGAGCGGAGTGACCCTGTTTGGCTTCAATTTTCGGAGCTCGGTCAGTGTATAGGTGTTCTGTGGGTCGTTCCGGGCACTCCCCTTATTCCAGCCACTGTAAACTCTCCTATTCTACCATTTTCTGACTGCACTCTGCCTCAGCGGCATGATGGCGCGAGTAGTGTCACGTTTTGGTGAGTACAACACAACGCTGCCCAGGACCTGCTTTGCAGTATATCATGTATTATTTGCAGGCACGTACTGGAAGAGCCTATTGCAAGATTACGGCGCTGCTTTGAAGGACATTGTGAAGGATTCAAGGAGCCGGCCAGGCAAGGCAGCCCTCATGCTAGCAGGTACGCATGTGTAGGAGCCAGGTGTTGATTGGTTCGTTTCGATTACATTTGCTGTGGTCGAGCTAGCCTCCGTTTCTACCATAGTTTCTACGTGTCGCTGAGCAAGCTTATGTACGACACCGGTGAGTTGGTAGAAAAGCTACTGTTTGTGTCACTGCGGGTATTTCGTGCGGATGAGCCGTTTTTTGGTCGCTAGTCGCATTTATCTGCGCGACCTGCACGAATAATGTATGGGGTCTTACATGCCATAACCACGATACGACTGCTGTACGCCGTAGAGGAACGCTTCGGCAATTTCGGGTCAGCAGTCCCTCACGGTTACCTCGGTACCTCCGCGGCAACTTCTGAAAATTGCCTCAGCGAATCGGCGGTGCTATGTGAGCCCGTCGTGGCAACCACGCAATGCGTGATCACAGTGTGGTGCAGTGGCGGTCAAAATATGGCGATTTCATTGCGGGAACAGGGGTGGAGCAGAGCACCGAGAGCAGGGTCACTCAGTGCTGCCACTGGTATGCGGCACGCTTCTAGATAGCTGGTGAGAGGGCAACAGCTGGCAGGAAATATAGCAAGTGTCCAAAAGGTTTGAAACACCAACATTTTCTGCAGGACAGCAGCGCTGATAAGCTGTAATTTTTCATTAATAACCTGATTCGAAGTTACATAGTGCACGTGTGCAATGATGCATCCAGCAAATGTAGCAGCATAATAATACGTTTGTGCAATAATGCATGCGGCAAACATTGCTGCATAGCCACCTGTGCAAACGGCACCAGTATTATACGGCAAAAAACAGCAGTGTCAAACTACTCATAGTTGCTGCTGCACTCCCGAGCTGAAGAAAAATTCAGTCGCACGACTCTGTGCAGCAAAAGTGCTCCCGTTCTGCTACCGAGTGACAGTGCTGCTACTTCTGTTCAACCGCTGAAACAGGCTCCGAAGAGCACTTTCAGTATGCTTTTGAGTGCTCCTGTTTTCCTAATGGCATTCACTGAAGACCAATGGGAGCATGTGGTGGTATCGCGGTGGTGCGGCCTACCCTTTGAATTGGGCCGTCGTGGAGACCACGCCCTAACTAGCAAAATGCCCTACTGCTAACCAGTTACTGTAAAACAAAAGGTGAACAGCACAGCGGTGTCTTATGATGGCAGCTTATGAAAGTCAAGAGCGCGGACTGGAATGCCAGAGTATACACAAGGTGTCACTTCTGCAGTCACTGGGGAAACACAGAGGGATGTTATCATAAATGCGGAACTTGTACTGGAAATGCACGCTGCCCCCTTGTTGTCCACAGCACACAAAACACGCATAATAACATGTAACATTCGTGCACAGAACTAGATCACGCATGCTGCAATTAATTTTTGTGCTCTGAGCGAGTATGTTAAGCAGAATGAAAAAAGAAACGTGGTGTACGCTGCGTATAGTACTTTTTTTCCTACACGCCCAATTTCAGCTCCACTAACATTGTTGGCATTCGTTGAGCTAACTGTTTGTTCTTCATTTTTAGTGGACTGGTGGCGAGTAGTGGAACTTGTTCAATTTTTGTGGCACATGCGGTTTGTCGTGGGCTGCAACTACATGACCTGCTGTGACGACATTAGACACGGACAAGCTGAAAACCTTGGGTGCTTCGCACCGTAAAATTCACACAAATGACACCGTCGCTTTGGGAGCTTGAATGCTGCAGTTGTCGCTGCATTGCTGTTTCTAGAGAGGAAGGACCAGGTGCATGTCGTAGCTTCTTGTGCATCCACTGAACGCCAGGGCAGAAGACGTTTAGGTTCCTCGGGCATTGATGCTCGACCAGCTCCCTACAACTATGTTGGCCTCCCGAAAGTTTATGTCCAAGCAGACCAACTTGTCTTCCCCCTTTCCCAGGGGCATGTGTGGAGAGTTTACGATGTCAGACCAGTCTAGCTGCCTAATCAAGTTCGACATGTCGTGTTCACTCGATAGCTTGGCATGCGTAGGTTTTTCAGGCTAAGTATAAATTGCATGCTTTTTGTGTAAGTCGTTTTATTTAGAGGGCGAACAGTTACATTGCACACCTGGGCAGGGCCTCTGCTTCAAAAGGTGCTCTCTGAATGCCGCCCCACACATAATCTTATGAGGTGCCACCGAGGTTCAGCGATAGTTTCTTTAACGTTCTCAATTTTAATATTTTAAGACTTCTTTAACAATGCTATAGTTGGTCATAATCAATGATGCTAGCATTAATCGCACAGTACATTATGGAATTTACAACTCAGTGTTGGGATCACAAGACCGAAAGGTGCTAATTGTAGCTAAAAGTCGCAAACAATAATTTTGCCGTTCCTTTAGCACTACTAATAACTGTGCACTCCGCAGGCAGTGGAGGAGTATGCGTGCTGGTGGCGACCAATCCAGGTCCAGATTCATTTCTTAATGCCCTTTGTTCGTCTTCAAACGACCTGCTGTTGCTGAGCGATGGAACACGCAACCCAGAATCTGAGGCATATGTGCGGCACTTGGAGACATGCCGCTGCCACGGTGCTCTGCGTTCCTGGGACCTGCTGCTGGCAACAGTTGTGTGGGAAAGTGACCATGCTGAGGATTGTGACTTGTATGCAGCTCGGTGCACATACCTGAAATCACGTCCGTTGACTCAGCGACACCGGCTGATTGATATTGGCCTCATTGGAATGTGGCTAAATCTTAGGCGAAAGATGAAAGACTGTGACATCAACTACGTGCAGTGGCAATAAGACTGTTCATTATCATGCACTCACTTGCATACACATGCGGTATGCGATAGCCATGTTAGATAGAGAAAAAAAAAAACTGGAGAGCATGGATTGGCAATTTTTCACTATATTTATTAGGAATGAAATAATAGTTTACAAATTAACAAGATCTTATTCATTATGTATTAGCACAGCTTACAGGAACACCTGTACTGGAACTACAATGCTACTAAGACATTTTATACCATGTTAATGTTAGCCTGTATAAATCATACAAGCTTCACTTTTTCAGTCTATATTTTTTGGTACACTTGACTCATGTGCGATTTGTGGCAACAAGTCGAAAAGATTCAAGCAACATAAGCCAAATTCCAATGTGCCATGTAGAAGATCATGCATTACTAATAATGAAGGTATCAATGACAAGGCTTTTTTTCCAAGATAGCTTCCTAAGTGCTGATCCCACATCGTTGCTACAGACCCTAAGTGTCTGCCTCTTTTTTTTTCAGGGGTGAGGGTGAGGGTGCAGGGGGGATTCGAGTAGTGCAGTCGCCCATTCTTGAGTGCGTTCTTTGTTAGTGAACTTCATTGAAACTAGAACTCTCCGCTCAAGGCACGCAGCATAGTGAAAAATTTTTTTTGAAAATTTCGCGAGATATGTTTTTGGCTCCATTTGCCTTGTTATCTATTCTGCCGTAAGCTTTGGTTGAGCAAGCCAATTCAAAGTATCAGTCCTTATTACTATGCCCTTCCAAACAATGCAACATGGCTGAGCAGTGTGCTGTTGGGTACCACACGCTGACAAAATATTATCAAGACTAGGGCAGAATATCAACTACAAAAAAACAAACATCCAGTGAGTTATGCTTGTACAGTTGTTTTTCTTTTGCAATGCTCACAATGGACTTCTCCCCATTTGCAAACACTGTGACATGACTGCGAGCACCCCACCCACTATCCCCTCCTTGCAAGTGCTGCAAGGCAAGAAAGTTCCTCCAGCAGTATATTTCTGCATACCAAGGCTGTGTGTGTTTGCATTCCTTCGGCAAAAGTTGTTGCATAAATGTGAAGGGAACCATTGCTCATTCGATCAAACAAACACAGGCGGGAAAGTCGGAATAAACGGAAAGCGCTCAAATGCGTTGTTGACTAGTAGTGCAGATGGAACACCTTTCACGGATTTCGAAATTCGTCAATTCGTGTAGCGCAATGGCATTGTTCACATTCTCGAACATCTACACATCGTCCACAGAGCAATGGGCTGGCTTTGTGGACTTTGAAGGACGCATTAAAGAAGATTGGAAACGCCGAGTTGACGACCTCGGGTTGCGCACAACTCGTGCGCAACCGGTAGCCCAAAAGTCTTTTCTTTTATCTTATCTTTTCGGCCAAGGAACCATCGCAGCATTTCGGCCAAGACGATGGAAGACACTGACTGGAAATTTGCACCAGGGCAATTCGCCTATGCGCGAAATTACGGAATGGGCGACAAATGGACGCAGGTCAAGGCCACGACCGATGCTCGACTTTTGGAAGTGGAGACTGAGGCAGGGATTGTCCGTCACCATATGGACTAAGTACAAAAGTGCGATAAGGAATTGTTGCCCGAGAGCAAGGACACTCTGGAATCGGCGCTACCCGACAACAAAGCGAGGACCAAAGACGCCAAGAACGCGTCTGCAGTATCGCAACCAATACGACAGTCCACGAGAAGGGAAAAACTGGTGGAACGTTATGGTTACTAAGGTGGAAGAAGTGTTGCAACGCCAGCGGTTGCCGAAGTGGACGCAGAACAGCACGTGCGTGCGTCCTCTCTCTCTTTGTTCCCTCTCTGCCCCCTTTCCCCTCTTTCATGATATAGGTTTCAAGCGGTCAATAAACGCGGTCTTCTTCCTGGTGACACCGCCTAGTTCATGTCTCCGGCGGCGTCTCTGCTGCCAACGTAACACATTGAGAATGGGGCCCTCTGTACTGGTCTAGTTTTTTAGAAGAGCTTTTTGCTGGGTGAGCTGGTGCAAAAAGAAATCATTGCACATTCCATCAAACAAACACAGGAGGGAAAGGCAGAATAAATATAGAGAGCTCAAGTTTGTTGACTAATAACGGAGAAGGAGGGACATTGAGAATGGGGCCCTCTGTAATGGTCAAGTGCTTTAGAAGAGCTTCTTGCTGGGCGAGTCAGTGCATAACTGTGATGGGAATCATTGTACATTCGGTCAAACAAATACAATTGAGAAAGGCATAATAAATGGGAATAGCTCAAATGCATTGGCTAGTAACGAAGAAGGAGGGGCATTGAATATGGGGCTTTTTTTTACGGGTAAAGTGCATTAAAAGAGCTTCTTGTTGGGCGAGTTGGTGCATAACTGTGATGGGAGTCATTGCACATTCGATCGTACAAACACAGGAGGGAAAGGCAGAATAAACGGAACAAGCTCCAATGTGTTGGACTAATAATGGAGAGGGAGGGACATTTATAATGGGGCCCTCTGTACTGGTTAAGTGCTTTAGAAGAGCTTCTTGCTATGCAAGTTGGTGCATAACTGTGATAGGACAAATTGCACATTCTATTGAATGAACACGGGGGGGGGGGGGGGGGGACACAAGTATCTAATATACTTGACCAGCTTAGGTCTCCTTTCTCAATGTCTCTCCTTCATTACAAATCAACACCTTTGCAATTTTTTCATTTATTCTTTTTCCTTCCTGTATTTATCCAGATGCATATGCAACGATATACATAACAGTTATGCACCAACTTGCTCCACAAGAAGTTCTTCAGAAATACAAACATGGGCATCTAAAGAATGGGGAGGGTAAAAGCAATTCACATACTGGATGGGCAGTCTTCATTTTGCGTGGCTAACACAAATATATTAAAGGGACAGCAAAGGAAAATATTAAGTCATCATTGATTGCTAAAATGGCAATCCAAAAACCTAATAGTGCTACTTTTGTGGCAAAGAAGTGGTTATTTTTAAATTAAATAGCGTTTTAGCAGTCCACATCGCATTAGGGCACTTCAAATGCCCCTCCTGGAAGTGGCCATCCCGCGTCACTGTTGCCATGTACAACGTTGCTCGGCTTTACTTCATAGCCGCCGACACTGGTAGCAGCAGAGCAAAAGTGGCGGGAGGCACAGCAGTAACAACAACCACTGAAAAACTTTTAGCCATGGCCTCCGAAATGGTAGGTGTGCTTAGTTGAACTGGGCCCCTCTAGATGGCACGACCTGACCAGTTTAACTAGGCGGAAATTGAATTTTTGAAGCACTCATATTTTTTCCGTTAATCTAATAGAAACGAACAAGCAGCATTTTATTACGCCTTTTTATGCACGGAAGGTTCTAAATTTAGTGCAAGTTCGATTACTAGTGATGAATTGTAGGTGGTAAGTCCGACGTCATCGGGATAATTTTGCGAATGGCGCACTCCAGTTGTGGCACATAGAGGGAAACCTCACCAAAGTAGAAACAAAAAACAATTGTGCCGGGTATTATGCAGTGATAATGAAAAAAAAAAAAAAAATCCAGGCTTGTGCAAAACACAGAGCGGTCACAGTGAAAGCTGGAAAAGTGGCATTTCTATATAATGGCCATGCTACATATGACAGGGCACCGACATAATTAAAGGGCACAAGGCACATGTCAAGTGGTGGAATGCAGTGATGGTGTTTGATGCCTGGATGGTATGCACATACGACGTTCACGTACGGGATTGATAGGAGAAAAGCCCATGGTGCGCGGCGCAAGCTGTGGTGGCAAACCGGAGAGGATGAGATGACATTGTCCTGTGGGGTGCCGAACGATGAAGAGGACGGCGTCGCTCTCGCGACGAAGGCGCCAGTAACCCTGATGTGGAGGTAGCAGCGTGAAGGTGCTGCAAAGCAGCACACAATCTCGATAGACTACGAGAGATGCTCTCCAGACCTGCAACACCTTGTAACAGCAGAGCCCGGGACACCTGCCGATCTTCGCCTTCTCAACAGGACACATGCGACTGACCTGACAGTCCCCAAAGTGTCACGTTGACAGATAGGCCTAACCTGCCAAGGCCCACAAAGACTGGGTTACGAGATGGAAAGAAGTGGCCGCTCAACAAAGACGACGACCAATGATGACCGTATGACCTCTGCAAGAACTACGACGATGGGACATTTAGTTGTAGCTGTAATCGGACATCATGATGATTAGTGGAGTTTATTGGCGCAAGGGCCAGATATGGCCAAAGAGCGCCAGAGCGATGATAATAAACTGTGCCATGTGCAGTGTGGATAAAACAGATGTGACGTGGCTGTAAATGGGCCTAAAAAACAGTCGCTGTAGGTGTGTAAAAATATATATATATATATATATAGTAAAATTATGGTAATCACAAATGATGTGTGCTATGGAGACGTAAAATGGTTTAAAAGTGATACCTATGTGAAATAAAAACTTGGCATGGAGCACCAGTGCCTCAACAGAGCCCTTAAAACAAGAGCATGGAGGCCTGGGCTTATTGAAGGCTGCTATCACAGCGGCATCTTCTGAACAGAGGATGCGCTATGAACTTGTTGGGCTAAAACCATTCAGTACTGCATCCTTTAAAAAGCTTAGAACTGATTTTGCATCAAAAAGCGGCTCTTCGCCGAGAAACATAATCGGATGTAAAGGAAGATGATAGCGGTATGCTAAAGGAAAATATTTCTTTCTTTCTCTTTCAGCTTCCGGACACTTCTTTCAGCTTCCGGACACTTCAAGAGGATGTGGAGGACGGTTAGCCTCTTGCCACATCTACCACAAGTAGGAGGTTCATCGTCAGTCAGCAGAAAGCTATGGGTACCATAAGTGTGTCCTATTCTGAGGGGACAGAATAGGACATCAGTTCGCCCCTTTCTCGTAGCGCAGGGCCAGTAACCTAACTGCGGCTTAATCAAGTAAAGCTTATTATTTATTTCTGCGTCCCACAAGCGTTGCCAGTGGCTTCGCAGTTTCTTACGCAGGAAGGGTTTTAGGTCTGTTGCAGGGACAGTAGCGGTAGGGTTAATAGCGCACAATATAATTGACGTGGCCATTTGGTCAGCTAACATGTTGCCCTCGATACTTCTATGGCCAGGTACCCAGCAAATAGTAACATGCAGGTTGGACATATACGCAGTACACAGGACGGAATACAACTCAATTATTACCGGATTTCTGAATCTAAAAAGTGATCTTAATGTATTTACGGTGCTTAATGAGTCTGTAAGTATAGCTGATTTTTGTGTGTTTCATTTCCGTATATGCTTCACAGCCGACAATAGTGCATAACCCTCAGCTGTAAATATACTTGTTTCCGGGTGCAGTACTCCGGATTCCGAGAAGGATGGTCCGACGGCTGCATAAGCCACCCCTGCATGCGACTTAGATTCGTCGGTATAAAACTCTACGCATGAGTAGTTGAGCTGGAGTTGTCGGAAGTGCATTTTAATATGTGCTTCTGGTGCATGTTTAGTGATCTCGACAAATGACGTGTCACAGTGTATAAGCTGCCACTGCCACGACAGTAAAAGTTTCGCTGTGGGCGTAGGACAAAGTTCTAGCAGTGGAACACCCATTTCTTCACTTAAGTTTCTCACACGCAAAGAGAACGGCTTTCTCACTGCGGGTCGATTATGGAAGAGGGTGGCAACGGTCATATCGTTTATAGTTGAATAAGAAGGATGCTTGATATTTGCGCGTACCTTTATAAAATATGTGAAACTGCTATAGGATCGCTGCAGGTGAAGTGACCACTGATTCGACTCTACATAGAGGCTCTGGATCGAACTTCTCCTGAAAGCACCGGTTGCAAGTCGGATACCCAGATGGTGAACGGGGTCTAGGATTTTTAATGCACTTGGCGTTGCGGAATGATAAATTATAGAGGCATAATCAAGACGCGACCCGACAAGGCTTTTGTACAACTTCAAGAGGCACTTTCGATCACTACCCCATGTTGTACGTGATAGGAGTTTTAGGACTGTTCATCGCTTTCAAACATTTCATTTAGACATATTTAATATGGGGAATAAACGTCAGCTTAGAATCTAAAGTGGTTCCCAGGAATTTATGCTCGCTGCTCACAGAGAGTTGGTCTCCCTTAATCGCAACATTTGGTAGTGGCATTACCCCTCCATTGTTGGAGAAAAGTACACAAGTACTTTTCTCGGTGTTTATTTTAAAACCATTCTCATCCGCCCATTTAGACAATTTATTCATTTCAAGCTGCACTTGTCGTTCGCAGATAGACATACTGCATGATTTGAAACTCATCTGCACATCATCAATATACACGGAATAAAACATCACGCTTGGAATGACTGACGACTGAAGGGAGTTCATTTTTACAAGAAAGAGTGTGCAACTAAGCACGCGCCCTTGCGAAACACCAGTCTCTTGGGTAAATGATCTAGAGAGAGCATTTACCACTTTTACGCGAAAGGTTCGGTTAGACAGATAACTTCAATTGTGTTTAGTATGTTCCCATGGATGCCCATGCCGGCAAGATCGCATAGAATCCCGGATCGCCATGTGGTATCGTAAGCTTTCTCCAGGTCTAAGAATACCGAAAGTACAAACTGCCTATGAATAAATGCATCTCTCATGTATGTCTCTATGCGAACAAGGTGGTCTACTGTCGACCTCCCCTCTCTGAAACCACACTGAAGGGGGTCTAGTATACTGTTACTTTCTAGAAAGTGGATTAAGCGCCGGTTTATCATTTTCTCATATAGTTTGCATAGGCAGCTTGTTAACGCTATTGGCCTGTAGCTGGCAGCCAAGGACGGGTCTTTGTTTTATTTAAGTACCGGGATGACTATGGCTTCTTTCCATGATAATGGAATATACCCAGCTTCCCACATGGTATTGAAGAGGGTTAGGAGTGTTTTTAGTGCTTCGGGGTGAAGATGCTTGATCATTTCGTACATTTTACGATCGCCACCTGGCGCCGAGTTGTTGCAGTACGCAAGAGATGCCTTAAGTTCAGCTAATGAAAATGGGCAGTTGTAAGCCTCCCTGGATGGACATTTACATATAAGGGGTTGCTGCTCTTCGCTCCAGGCTCTCCCCTCGGCTACTTACCAAGGGTAGGGGGTGTGATTACCGACCCATTAACTTGTTTACCCTATTCCAACCGTTCGTTTCTTCGGTGTAAGAGTTTATACCGGAGATGTACCTATTCCAACTTTCTTTCTTTGCAAGACGACGCGTTCTTCTGGCTTGGGACTTAACTTGTTTGAAATTGACGAGGTTTTTAGCCGTTGGGTAATTTCGGAGTAGTCTCCAAGCTTTATTTTGTCTATTGCGTGCGTTTCGACAATCGTCGTTCCACCATGGGATGCGACGCCTATTAGTCATTCCGTTAGATTGCTTGATACATTTCACTGCAGCATCAATAATAAAACCTGTTAGGTATGCTACAGCATCGTCTATATTAAAATCAGCAATGTCATCTCCGTCTAAAAATGTAATTTCTCGGAACAGTTCCCAGGTGGCTGATTTGGTGTTCCAACGAGGAAAGTCAAGTGAGCATGTATCTTCTTTTCTTAACTTCAACATAATCGGGAAGTGGTCACTCCCAAAGGGGTTCTTAGGAACGAATCACTCCAGATATGGAATGAATGTACTCAAGACAATACTCAGGTCTATAGAAGAGTGTGTGTTGTGTGTAGTGTTATAATATGTTGGCTCTTTTTTGTTTAGTAGACATGCACCTGAGGAAAACAGAAAGTGTTCTATTAGGCGTCCTCGCGCATCTAAATGGGAGTCGCCCCATAGGGGATTATGTGCATTTAGATCACCAACGACTATATATGGCGGAGGAAGTTCATCAATGAAGCTTTGAAATTGTGTCTTCGAAAGTTGACAGCAAGGAGGAATGTAAATAGAGGTAATTGTTAGCAGCTTCCCGAACAGCACTGCTTGGACAGCAACTGCCTCAAGAGATTCGGAGGTTTAATTGCTTACAGGCAACACCTTTATCAACTATTATAGCGACACCGCCCGACGAAGCGGCAGCGTCGTCACGGTCTTTGCGGAAGATGGCATATTGCTTTAGAAAGTTTGTTTGTGCGGACTTGAGATGCGTTTCCTGAACACACAGCACCTTTGGAGTATGTTTATTAAGAAGTTCTCTAATATCATTGAGGTTATGAAGAAGTCCTCTCACATTCCACTGTAATAATATCTGTGTGTCCATTTTAGATGTGTTTTGTGCTGTGTGCTCAAGGATGGAAAGTTAGCTCACGGACCCTTTCCAGGGGCCGTCACACGAGATTTTTCTTTTTTGGATCGGTCGACGGAGTCGCGCCGATCCTTAGGCGCTGGCTGCGCCCTCACGCTTGGTGTTGTGTCCATCGCCTCTTGCGAGGGGCTGGACATGCGCTCTTGCGATCGCTGCGTTTGTTTCGAGGGCCTCGCCTTAAAAGACAAGACCTTCACAGCCCCCAGCCCGGAGGTTGGTGGGTCCTTCTTGGATGGCGGAGCAGCACTGGCTGCAGCCGCCGGGGGGGCGGATGGCGTCACCGCTGGCTCACTACATGTGTGCCAGACAGCCGCCGGGGGCCGTCGTGGCGCTGCCCCCCTGATGCGCCATTTCGGCAAAGCTAATTTCTGGTAGGTAGGACACCTGCCTTCGTGCCTCCCTAAATAATATGTTTTGTTTTACTTTAATTGTGACAATTTCCTTTTCTTTTTTCCAGCATGGGCATGACCGTGAGTATGCGGCATGCTCCCCATTACAGTTCGCACAGTGAAGAGCGTTTTCACAGGCATCAGATGTGTGTTCTTCAGCACTGCATTTCGCGCAAGCTAGGCGGCCTCGGCAGTTCTGTGAACAGTGGCCGAACCGCTGACAATTGAAACATCGGAGAGGGTTTGGTATATGGCCTCACTCAAAGCTTGATGTACCCAGCCTCAACGGAGTCGGGCAGTACACTTGAATTGAAAGTATCAAGTGCTTAGTCTGAATTTCTTTGCCATCGCACGTGATCCTAATTCGTTTCACGTTGATGACATTCTGTTCACTAAAACCCTCCAGGAGTTCAGCCTCCGTCAGCCCTAACAGGTCATCATCTGAAACAACGCCACTAGTGGTGTTGATGGTTCAGTGTGGAGTTACTATTAATTTGGTATCTCCGAATTTCATTAGATGAGGCAGTTTCTCATATTGCTTCTGGTCGCGGAGCTCCAACAGGAGGTCACCACTTGCCATTCTCGATGCTTTATATCCTGGGCCAAAGATTTTCGTCCAAGACTTTGAAACTAGAAAAGGTGAAAGTGTTCGCACTGATTTGCCGGGTGTGTCAGCGTTGATAACGTGGAATCGGGGAAAAAATACTTTCTGGTGACCAAAAAACTGGAAGACTTCATCGGTGCGCCCTCTTTTGTGAGGGCGATCGAGGAGTAGGGGGAAGGAACTAGCCATATGTAAATGTTTACTTTCGGCAGCGGCGCCAGCCACCCACCATGGAGTCCTACAAGGGGACGCTGCAGGGTCTGTAAGTACAGGCCCTGCAGACGCCAGCCGTACGCCACCACTATAACCGAATATGGTGTATCCAAAGTAGGATAGCCACACAGGGTTAACCCTTGCCGCCAGGAAACACGGAAGTCAATGGAAGTGAGTAGAGGACTGGAAAGATTTAAAGTAAGAGAAAAGAGGAAGATGTGAGGTGGAGACAGGAAAAGGCGGCTGCCGATTCCCCCCGGGCGGGTCAATCCTGGGGTGCCGTCTACGTGAAACCGGGGCCAAAGGGGTGTGTTGCCGCCACTGGGGGGCCTTAAAGGTCCAATCACCCAGCATTGGCTCAACCCCCAGGATCCCCTTTTCCCCGAACACGGCAAAGCCACGCACGTCTAGGCGTGGGAGGGAGTCGAAACCCCCCCCGTTAGCTCGGGTCCGTGGTGTCGCTACACACCAAACGCCTACTTACGCAGACGCCCCTGCGGGGAATCGGACATCACGAACAATAAGACATTCGTTAAACACGTGACTGTAGGAGAGTAGCCCTATAGATTGGTTAGGGCTAAACTTGGCTTTAGCTCGAACTGCAGTTAGTTCTGGCTTCAGTACATAGCAGACTATTGTGTACATGTTTCTTGTTGGTGTGAATTTGGAGTTCGTTGATATTTTGCCTTTTTGTATAAAGATGTCTTAGCTGTGCTACCCCTCCCGTCTCTCTCTCAACTCCATCCACTGCAAGTGCTCCCAGGATAACTGTGCCAGACGGCTGTATGGGGTCTTTTAGATATTATTGTGACAGATGCCTGTATATTGTCTTTTCGCAAAAGAGTTTCAAGTGCTGTGTGACAAAGTTTCAAGGCCGGCTGGTGCTTGAAACACCTGACGGTACTAAAATTTTAAAAAGACAACAATAGTATGTACACATTTATGTGCATTTTGTTGGTGTATCTTCTTTTTCACATGAATTTTGTGTTGTGGTAGATGTCGAGGATTGGCAATGAAAAGAGAGAAAAAGGGGGAAAAAAAATTACGCCATCTTCCACTAAAGGGAACCACGTAGGGATGTGAAACATCGCTGGTGTTCCATGTATGTTTGATTTGTGCATGGAGTTCTGTATGTGGACTGTATTACTTATTCTACACCCCACCCCCCTAGCCTCCCATTTGTGTAATACCGTGGGTGTGCCGCAAAGTGAACACCTAGCACTACTAGGAGAGTGCTACGAAGCGAGCGCATGCAGCATTATATACGAGTGCGCAATGTGGCAAAGAGTTAAACGGGAGAGGAGAAATGATGCACAAGAAGTGCTCTGCCATCTGCTTCATCCCACCTGCTTGTGCTCACACGAAGAGAAGATCCTCCCACCTCCTTGTGTGAGTGCGAGGTTCATGCACAGTGGGGGAGTGCACGCTCGCTGAGGAATGTACACAGCCCCAAGCAAAAGCTGCTTTGCATCTAAAACAGCGTGACTGTGGTAGAGTATGCTTCTACCACTCAGACGGGCCCAGGTTCAAATACCATGCAATCCTGCATTCCAGATATCGAGCGAGAGGGGTTACGGACACTGGGGGGCAATAGCGGTGTTGGACAATTATGCTCCCAAAACCATTTGTTTTTGTGATAGAGACATAAAAATCAACACACAACATTGCATCCTCAATGTTCTGATGCCTTTAATGCAACTAGAAACAACTTATACAAGGAAAATGAAAGATGTTAGCATATATAGAAAACCTGTAAGTACAGAATCCAAGGAAGCTGTTTTGACTGATCTCAAACATCTTGTGTTTGAGATAAACATTGCATACGTTCATCATTAGTGTCTTCTTACCATCGAGATCGATTATACCGACCTCGACTACCACCTCGGTCCGATCCAAAGGAACGATTCTCCTCGTCACGTCGTTTTTTCCAGGCATCAAAACGGTCAGCCATTGCATAGAGACCATGCGGAACGTCTTGGTTAGCTTCTTCCAATATACTGATCAGCTCACGAGCGTGTCTCCAGTTTTCACGAGTTACTAACGTGATCGACTCACCACGACGCCTGCCAAGGGATAAAAAAAGATCACATACAGTAACAGACTTGGATCACTTTTACACCTCACAGTAAGTTCGCATAGAGAAAAACACCAACAGAGTGGTTAGAGTGTTGGGATGACCTAAACAATAAGGCAAAAATGATTTTAATATGTTTCTAATATATTCCAACATCGCTGAAAGCTTCTGGAGAGAGCGGCTGCAGCAGAAGCTGCTGTTTACCATTGCCTAGGCACACCCTTTACGAGTAACTCATTAGCGTAAAATGGCTCATTCCGCAGCACTTCGTTGAACCTAGACCACTTATTATTCCTGTCACAGTGGTAACCTACCGTTCCCTACTTACCTCCGTTCAGCAAAGAGAGTTGTGGCCAAGCTACACGGCTTAGTGCGAACTTGCGACAGGAGCCGCACGGGGCAGAAACGGCAGCATTTTTCACATTTGTACTCATCTTAGAGGCAATGTACACACCTCTCTCTCTTTCTTTCTTTCTGTTTGTGTGCATTGTAATAAATATAAAATGCGAAAGTACACTGTGTATGTGCCTGCATCTCACTCGTTTTAAACAAACAATACAGAGCAACACTGGCTTGTGGCGGCGGCTTGGTAAAGTGTTCATTGTAAACACTGACGTCCTCAATAAAGAATTTAAACTTGCACTACACATTGATCAATACTACACCGAACGAAAGTATAATGCTAAAATCTATAATTGAGATCACTAAGAGGATATTGTTAGCATAATTTTCTTTGTAGCAGTAGCTACGTGGGAACGAAAGTGCTCCATCAAGCTCAAATGGTCGTTACCGTATTCCCTTTTCCAAAAGCTCTATTTAACTTTCACGGTGAATTGGAGACCGTGTCACACGAACCACATCTCTCTCAACGAAAAGACAAAGTACTTCTTAAACCAGTTCTGTGACGGCCATGTGACGAGGGTCGCCGGAGTGGTGAATATCCATGCTAGTATCAGGCTATGAGAAAAGGCTGTGCAAATGCAAAGACAATGAGAAAGCAGCCGAACATGACTGAGAATCGACATATGAGATCAGGGTGTTGGCATCCTTCAAAGTTTTTAAATGTTCCGTCATGGAACCTGTGTCAAGTCCGAGAACCCACATTGTTGACAACACATGGTTGACTGCTCTAATGTTGCCTTAGCACGAAAGTAAAATATGTTTTCAGAGAAGTAGTAGTTGAATAATGAGAGCCTATCGATGTTCGGTGGCTAAAGCACTATTTGATGCAGATAACAGTTACCTGCAACCAAATTCTTCTATGCCCCTAAACCATTACTCTGAACATTGGCATGCTCCGAGGCCGTCCACTAACTACGATTTTGAGGTTACTGTCTGCTTAATATTCCAAATAATTAAAAGTTACTTATAGAAATGTGTATACTCTTTCCAATAACTTAAATATGCTTTTCTAAACATGTCTGTGTATTGGAAACTGTTGTTGATTTGCTTGCTTGTGCCATTGTTTTCCTGCCACGCTGAATCTGGGACATGGGGCATTGTCAAGCTGCTTCATGCCGCATTTTTTCCCCGTCCGAACCATTTACCTGTAACTGTATGTAGAAAACTCAACTCAAGATGCACTGACAATAACGCTTCTTAGCACACCTCTACACCAACGACCAGTGATCATGATTAAACCTTTGTGGTAGCTGAAGCATGCAGTGAATGGTGTTCAAAAATGGCCATAAAATACACTGGTCAGTGAACAATGGTACTTAATATACGCTCATGAAAAGCGCTGTCACTGGAGGAGAGATACGGCCATGTGTGCACTCTCCAGTTATAGAGCAACCTACATCTTTGCCAATGCCACACAGTGCTTTAGAAATGCGAAAGGCAGGGCTCACAGCTTGAATGTGTGAAGGCGTTCAGCTTCCTCCTGACATGTTCTCACGGCACCTAAGCAGTATAGCAAAATATTTTGCCAAATTTACTTTTCTCAACCCCTGTGAGAGCTTCATAAATTGTTACAACAGTTTTTTTTTCTTCCCAGCTGTGCTAGAATTTCCTTAGTATTCTTAGTTATCGAACCTACAAATAGTTTTTGGCTACAAGTGTTTGTTATCTGTATGAAATAATAAAGCTCTTGAAAAAAAAAATAATAACAGAGGTCGCCTGCTTGGATAAAAGCTTACCCAGCTCGACCTGTCCGGCCAACTCGATGGACATATTCTTCTATATTTCGGGGAAAATCATAATTGAAGATGTGCCTGCAGAAAAAGCAGAAAACATGCCTCTTAGCTGCAAACAAGACAAGCATGCAACACTACTGTTAGCTTTGTTAGTATCAGCATACCTGGTGTGTTCACCTGAGCACCCAAAGTTATGAGATAATCAAAACTACAAGCATTTTGTCACACTCAATGCCAAAAGCTTTGCTGCCTTGCAAGAGACAGCTACAGTGTGTGCACCAAGTGATGTCTCCATTTCATAACCTTTAATAGACCCTATTTATTTTAAATGAAGCTGCATTTAACAGAACAGGTTTCAAACGAATACTAAAGGTTTCCTGAATTTTACGCACTTGCTGGAATAAATCCTTTGTAACTTTCCAACCCATAGCCAGTGCTACTGTAGATCAGATGGTACAGGAACCTCCACGTTTGGAGAAAAGTGCAGTTTCTTTCGCTTCTGTTTTCCTTCCAATTATACATTTAGTGCAAGGAAGGAGGAACGGTTAGCTATACCTCAAGGAATATCTGGTATGCAAATGAAACACACATTAAGAACAGAAATGTGCACAATAGTAAATATTTCTAAGATTCCTGTTACATTGCTAGCAGTACTTATTATGCACTGAAATGCCTGCAGTGATCTCAAGGCCATATCATAATAATGTGTTGCAATGGAATAGATTGATTAATATGTGGTGTCTAACAGTCCCAAAACCATCATATGATTATGAAAGACACCGTAGTGGAGGGCTCCAGAAATTTTGACCACCCTGGGGTTGCAATGGAATTTAATGATAAAATAATATCTGGCGTTTTACATCTCAAAACCACGATATAATTATGGGACACCATGCACGGGAAGGGCTACGAAAATTTTGACTATCTAGTTTAATGCGCCCTGACATTGCATAGCACACAGGCCTCCACCATTTTGCTTCCATGAAAATGGGACCTTTGGGTCAGCAGCCTAGCACAAGTGAAATCTGTCAGTAATATAAAGGAAAGTCTGCTTTGTTGTAACAAGTGGTTGGAAAGACCACCGTTCCATCTGAAGGCGTATCTACAATCTTGACTTGAGCTGACACTTTGCCTGCGAGGATGGTAGGGTCCTTAGTGATAACATCAACAGCACCCCATAAATATAACAGCCATGTAGAGCCCACATAGCTGCCACCAAAATCAAATAACAAAGACCCAAATGATGGCTAAGAAGTATTCTTATTCAAAATGAAAAATACCTTTAATAACATTATGTGATATCAACTCAATTACCCGAGTTTCATGCACAAACTATGAGCCGTGCTTCAGTAGTGCGCCTTGGCATTTCATCATGCCACAACCGCCGTCAAGTTGTGGGAATCGAGAGTGCCATCTCATTTGGGGCCTCGTTCCCCAGCTAGCGCTTATGCTAGCCCTGCACGGCTTGAGTTCTGAGAGCTGACAATACAACTGTTATGGCTTTGCCACCAGGCCTTTTTGTCAGGTGCAAGCCATGCGTGCGCTCCTTGCCAGCGCATAGACACGTGCCCAGACATGCCCAAACCATGCCCGTAACACACCACACTAGCACATATGATAACACTTTGCTAGTCCTCATTGGCTGCCCGTGACATCACCCTCACGAGCTTGTCTCTCCCCATCCACTGGCTTGCCGCAGCAGATGCTCTTAGTGTGGTAACTAGGGTGCTGAAGGCAAGTGTTCTCGATTAGTCTTGCAGAGTTACCCCCATAGAGTTTCATACAATAATACCTAGAGAGGAATCTGGCGCTGCGATCGTGTACCTCCTTGAGAATTATGGGACGTACAGGCTTCGTATTGGATAGGGTTAGCTAGTGAACTGTCTACAGACTTTTTTTCTGCAGTTTCAGTTTCGTTCTTCCTACAGCGGGGCAGTGGGGTGCGATGAAAAGCACTCAAGCAGTGCCATTGTTGCTCAAGAAGGCTTAAGACCACTTATGTCTGAAATTTTCGGTGACTTTCAAGCTTTAAGAGTCGTATTTGACAGTTTAGCGAAGCATCATCCACTCACCGCTGCACATAAATGTAGCGTCTCACGCCAGTGCAGAATATTGCATCCAGTTCATGTTTTTTCATAAGCGCGTCTTGCCTAAAGTAGTTTTAAATCGACGGCAAGACAATGGCGAAGCTAACTAGATGCACCGTCGCACTCCGCTGACTCAACTTCACAACAAACCAGAGATGCTTTGGGGCAGACCACTTAGACAAACGCACCTAGCATCACAGAAGACGAAACGTTAAGTGTTTCTCATTTAATACTGTACTGTTCTTTCCATAAATAGATAACGTGTACTTTCCAGAAAAAAACAAGCATGCTTGTTTTCAAGTGTGTAACAATAATTCTTGAAATCTTGATGCCAAATCTGGAATGCAATGGCAGAGCAATGCATACCCTGATGGTTATATTTGCCAAGGTGAGCTTTCGCCAGCCTCGTCACAAAAGCTTTTTACAATAAAGTTTGCGTACAAATAAATGAAGCAAGTTCCAGTTAAACATAAGTTCATATCACTTTGTTTTACACTCAGAAAAGAAGCATTGCGAATATCAGGAACGTAATTCATTTGAAGCGTACCCGAAGCCTGTGCTTCCCATAATTCCCATGGGGGTACAAGCGCCGCTCAGAGTGCCCCGTGTAGACACTAGCACCAGTTTCCCCTCTAAGGTATTACTGTATGAAACTCTATGGTTATCCAATGGCTCGCATTTTCGTGACTGATGCATCGTGCTGCCTCTTGGGTTAATAAAGCCTCAATTGCCGACATGGTCCCTCAAGTGTCCTTTCTGTGCCGTGTAGGAGAATCAATAAGCCCGCCTGCAGCGTCTCTGCACGCCGTGGCAGAGGCGTAGCCAGAAATTGTTTTCGGGGGGTGGGGGGCACAGGCATTAGCTTTCCTTTGTCGCATTACTATTGGCAGTAGTTTGAGCAGATTGTGCACATTTATAGAAAAGTCATGAGACCCCTCTTCTCCCCATGCGTGTGCTTGTGAAGAGAGTAAGTGAAAGTAAAGTAATCGCAGTAAAATACAGTAAACGACAGGTACAGTGACCGTCTGGAGCAAGGGCCTCTCGTTGTACCATTGAACCGACTAATCATCGAAAACGCATCATTGCAACTACCCACCCAATCGAAGAAGACATCGTTAATCTCTGTTAAGCATAGATGGCATAATCTTCGTCGGGGCGAAGAGCGTTGCACACGTTGAGGACGGCTACGCTTACAATGACGAAATAGAAGTGTATGTAGCATGTTTTTGTACATTCATATTTACATTCCGGTTTTGCTTACTTTGCTGAGCGAATAATTTCTTACTGTCGACGTTTGTGACTGCATGCCAATGGGAATGATTTTTATGTTAAGCTTTATATGTTAAGCACCCCTGACGCTGTGATAGCTTTTAGTCATTTTTTTTTACTTCACTGCGCGTATGCAAGCATGCGTGCGATACACAAGTAATTTTTTGTAAGTTTTCCTGCACGTTGGCAATACGATTTTTCATGTGCTATTTTTCGGGCATTCTTTCTCGCAACCTTGGTTGACAAAACACTTGCACTGTGACTTTTGATAGCAATAAAGTACTGCAGTCATAGAGATCTTATCCTGCAATCTGCGAGGGCAAGGTAATCACTGTTGAGAAATGTTCACTTGGTCTCATTCTGAAATTCGCCTCGGACGAGACTATATCAACTCACAGAAATAACTTGTTCGCAGCGTATATGCAATTGCAAACTTAAATACGGCCCAAAACGCGCAATGTCCTCATTTTGTTTTTTGTAGGTTTTGTCGCTCTGATCTCTGAAGCGATGGCGTTGCGGCAAGCTGTCTTCTGTTGTTTGCAAGCGTGCAGCCAACAGATTCAGAACTGTCCAGCAAACTTCACCGTGCAGCACAGATATGCCATGTATACTAACTAGAGCATGCATTCATGTTTGTAGCACTTACACTGGCGTGAACAAGATCAGCCTCGTACCACACAAAATCTCGAGTGATCGGTTCATGAAGAAATGAACTCTGGTCTTGTTCAAAGCGTAGTGCACCATAATCAATTTCTCAGAATGTGTAAGCTCCGACAAGAACTGCCATCGCATACAACACGAGTTTACTTGCGCTGTACTGTGCACCATCCGTGCCTGTCTCTTGCCTGGTTCGAGCATTCTGATACGAATCACTGGAATTTCACAACTAGCATCAGCTCCTTCGCGTTCATTGATGTTTGCGGTATGACATCACTACGCAACAGAAAATACCAGCCTTCTGTAGGGGTGCAATCATGAGCACGCGACATTTCTCGCGCAGAGTAAGATACTGGGCGAGCGCGACCTTACCTGCAACTGAAGCGAAGCGGAGGAAATGTATACCCGTGAATCTTTCCGCCAGGGGAGAAACGAGCGCTAGTGTGTTTAAGGCGGAACTTTACCAGCCCACCTGTACCGTCGCTAAAGTTCTCCTTTCTCGCATTCGTTGTCACTGCCTGAACTTTACTGAGTGCGTTGCTTCCTAGCATTGTGAAGTCACCCCCTTAAAATACACTGTCTACACGTATTGGTGAGCAGTTATTGTTCTGTGTCAATCACCGCCTATCTATGAGACTCAATAGCTGTGCCAAATTCCCGAAAATGCTTGATGATTAGTTCTAGAAAGGCGAGGCTGCTCCAAGTGCACACTCGACAAGTGGCGAAAAGGCTGCAGCAGCTGAAGGAACGGTTCCAAGCTGTAGTTCTACACTGCCTGAATACGACTCATGTGCCCAAAGAACTCTTGGAAACGGATCAGAGCGTGATGCATGCATGGAAACCGTGATTCCTGACAACGACATTGGTCTTTACGTGTTTAACGGGCCAAGACGCCAGGAGTTGCAGGACAATGAGATTAGACGTAGTGTACTCGTATCTCGAAGGATTACGGCCACTAGCGTGGGTTCGGTCTAAGCGAGCCGCAGGGACACGCTGTCAATCATTGCCGTGGCGAGAACACGATACTTGCTCAAGGTCGCAACACTTTATTGCCTGCGGCAACAC